CGAAAAGCAGCATTGGGGGTAAGGAAGACACTAGAAAGGACACTAGAAATCCAAAGCGTTGCAGGCTGTGAACTACACTAGATGCTTCGTGAGTGAGTGCCCTTAGAGAGTGCTTTCTGACAGCTGTCGAAGGGTGTTTTCGTGAGTTGTCTCTAGTGATCAAGTGGAGCGAGGGATCACTCATGGAGTAGTGGAGCGATGCCCCTTATTGGGAGGGAAAAAACACAATCCCCTTTGAAGAGAAAAGGCACATTGCGGATGGCCGGTAGCTCAGCGGGTAGAGCACTGGTTGGAAATGCGCTTTCTGGTCTGAGGTTGGGCGTCCAGAATTCCGCGCCCTCGCACATGTACACTGGCGGGCGTTGACCATCGCAGGTTGGGCGTCCAGAATTCCGCGCCCTCGCACATGTACACTGGCGGGCGTTGACCATCGCACGGCCATTCGCAACCCCCCCCCACTACCTTGGGCTGAGGCATGGTAAGGATTACGGACACTGCCTGTGCACTACCCAAGGGGCATATAGTCCATGGTTGGAGTATGCTGGGAGGGCTGTTAGAGTACTCTGTCTATGGTTAGGTCTCAGACTGATGGTCAGGGTCGTGTCTCGTGTACTTGCCAGGGGGCGGGGGGGGGTTAGGTTTAATCAGGGTCTTAGGGGGGACGTCTTCCTCGTCCTCGCTCGTCATCTCCCGCCTTGTCTTTGCACTCCTAATGCCGATCCTCCTCCTCCCGCCTATCGTGATCTTATCCCCTATCACAATCCTCATCATCCATCATTGCCTTCACATTGTTCATGTCGCAGACCCCGCCCTTTTCTTGTCTCTCCTTCCTCATGTCTTCCACTACTACTTCCATGTCATCCATCTCTCACGCGGCGACTGGATTCCATGATGACATTATAAAAAAAAAGAACAAAAAAAGAAAAAACTTCTCAAAAAAGTAGATCAACATAATTTTTCTCTCGCAGCACTACACTGCTCATCACTGCTCTCCAAGTTCTCGTGCTAGCAAGCTCCCTCACATCAAGGCATTGTGCTCAGCATTCTCCTCCCCACCCGGCTCTCTCTCTCTCTCTCTCTCTCTCTCTCTCTCTCTCTCTCTCTCTCTCTCTCTCTCTCTCTCTCTCTCTCTCTCTCTCTNTCTCTCTCTCTCTCTCTCTCTCTCTCTCTCTCTCTCTCTCTCTCTCTCTCTCTCTCTCTCTCTCTCTCTCTCCCCCCCTCTCTCTCTCTCTCTCTGAGGCTGTGTTGTGCGTGAAGAGGGGGAGAGTTCGTGGCGAAGTGCACCCCCCTCCCCCCCTCTCTGTCTCTCTATCTGAGTGCGTCATGCACGAAGACGCAGAGTGTAGAAAATCAGAATGAGTCTTCTGCTGTAATATGGAAAGATGCACTGCCATATTTGTGAGTGAAAATCCGCTGCCCCGGCCTGCTTTGTACTTTGTATTTGAATACGCGGCCCTGCACCGAGAAGTTGCGAAAACGCATCGATCCTTCCGGAAGCGGAAAAAAAACACGTGTGTGGGGCGAATCTGAACGGAAAAAAGGAAAAACTTCCCTAGTCCTTGCGTGAGCCCTGAGCCGCGAAGCGCAGAAAAAAAGAAAAAGAAAAAAAGTGAGATGTGCGCTCAGATGCCGGGCCAACTGGCAACCATCTCACGCGATCAGCGGTTTCTGCTGGGCCTGGCGGGGGGCGTCAGCCGAGGCCCGCTGCTCGCTTTAGAAGGTATATAGAAGAAGGGATCAGCCGTGTTCCACTTTCGAGAAGTATGTCCACAGATTACCCTTGGCACACACAGAAATGTGTATGTCCACAGATTACCCTTGGCACACACAGAAATGTGTATGTCCACAGATTACCCTTGGCACACATGGAAATGTGACCATCTTCCCCAAATAGAACGAACGGCCATTATTGCTGTATGTGGACTGCAAATTGCCCAAAATACAGCTGTAACTTTGTAAGTATCATACATTCTATTCAGGGGAAGACAGTAGAGCAGCGTCACTCTGGTTCCTATTCCCCCGGCAAGTCAAAGTAGCAGTATTACATCATGTACCCCCACTCATGCATCCTTCCGTCTGCCGGAAGGATCCGTGATCAGCATTGATTACTCCACTTTGTGGAGGATTGACTTTCAGCTTGCCTTTCCCTGTGATTCCTCTCAGAGTCTTCATCAGAGACCCTATCAGATAGCCTTAAACGCATGACGCAACAGGAGAAGAACTGCTGTGCTGTGCCCAGCTTGTTTGTAATTGTGCCCATGGTCATATGTCTGAACTATGTAGCTCTGGAAGCCTTGAGGCTGTGGGAGACGATCGCCCTGGTCTCTCTGCAGCGGGCAGGAGTTGTGTGCATTCCTTCCATCTGAGGTGAAGTCCCTGAACGCTCGCAACCTTTCCATAGCCCAGCCATACTTTCGTGAACTGTGCCAGAAGCCCTTGCTGCTGCTCCTGATTCTCCGGCACGTGAATCCTGGCTTCTTTTTCTTCCATGGGGAGAATACTTCAGTCTCCCGTAAGGATTTGGGCGTTGCCATCACCTTTTCACACGATCTGTTGGAGTCGTCCAATTTTCCGCTGCACCTTTCCTTCCATATGAGCCAGAGCGCTGAGCGTCACCTTTCGAATCATGGCAACCCAGGTGCCCTCCGACTTGGTAAAGTTCGGAGGAACGTTGGTCCAGAGTAGTAGTTGGATTGGGAGTTCGGGCAAGGAAGAAGATAAAAGGTAGTCCCAGAGAGCGGATGCTCGTGCCCAGTAGGCAGTTGGGAACCTTGTGTGTGTGTGTGTGTGTGTGTGTGTGTGTGTGTGTGTGTGTGTGTGTGTGTGTGTTTAAATTTTAATTCAGCGCAAGCAGATACTAGGGGTGCTGGAAAGTGTGTGTGTGTGTGTGTGTGTGTGTGTGTGTGTGTGTGTGTTTAAATTTTAATTCAGCGCAAACAGATACTAGGGGTGCTGGAAAGTGTGTGTGTGTGTGTGTGTGTGTGTGTGTGTGTGTGTGTGTTTAAAGTTTAATTCAGCGCAAGCAGATGCTAGGGGTGCTGGAAATTATCTACACTAAATGAGAAAAGGCAAAAAAAATGATAAAATATGAATGTAGTAAATGTACTAGTATGATATATGCACGAAGTTATCTCTATACTCTTAGAAGTTACAACGGGCCCATTGTAACGGGTGGACGCAGGCCCAACGAAAACTGACGTAGGGGTGCGCCATCCCGCCGAGGGGGCTGAGGGAGGGGACTGGCTGGGACAGAGCGGGTCTGGCCGCGCGGGATCGAGGCGGGCGGTTTGGCGGCGAGTGTTCGGACATCATTTTTCCGGATCCGCCCAAGCCAGGTCCATTTTTTGACGAAATTGAGGGTCCATCATTCTTAAAATGCTGGACCCCCTGGCCGTATCTGGACTTATCTGGAGTCCAGGCGGTCCAGCGTTTTAAGAACGCTGGACCCCCTGAACGTATCTGGACTTAGCTAGAGTCCAGGGGGTCCAGCGTCTTAAGAACGCCAGAGCCTCAGTTTCGTCAAAATTTTGACCTCACTCGGGTGGTTTCGGGCCAAATTAGTCGGTTTGAATTTCGTTCAAAAAATGAAAAATGTCCGTCTTGACGAAATTGCTGTTCTGTAGGCAGAGAGGGAGAAGAGGGCAACAAACGAGGGGCTGCGACAAACTGTTTCGTTGGAGTTGGAGTTTCGACGACTCGGCTGGCCGGTGAACTGTAGGCAGAGAGGGAGAAGAGGACAGCAAACGAGGGACTGTGACAGACTACATATCGTCGTAGAGAACTGCGCGGTAAACCGCAGGCAGAGAGGGAGAAGAGGACAGCAAACGAAGGAATGCGACAGACTGTTTCGTCAGAGTCTCACCAACTCGTCAGGAAAGCTGAACCCTCTACAGTCTGCAGAGTCCCCTAACTGATTACACTCAAGTGATAATCCACCTTAACCCAGGCTGTGGTTAAGCATCAACAACTGCCGGACAACTGATACCCCTCTGAGGTGGTGGGGGACCACCAACCACTGCCCTCAGGGTACCTACGACAAAAATCACAGCAGACAAAATAGGAAATATCCTCCCCAAAAATCAGAAAAACTGGAAATTGGCAACGCAGGTCCTTTGGGTAATTAGCAAAATGTCCCTCTGCGCGAGGATGACACACATAAATGGAGAAATGGTGCAAACAAAGAAGAAGGGAGGAAGAAAAACGGAAAAAAACAAAAAAGAAATTTGCAACGCAGGAAGGGTCAGACACCAAGGGCCTCGCTCCGCTACTCACCACATGCAGAAAAGAAAAAAAATATGGTGGTGCATCTTCCCATGTTCCAGCAGAAGATTTATTCTCCTTTTGCACATTTGGTGAGTAGTGGAGCGAGGCCCCGAAAGTGGGAATTTTTCAGGTGCTTTCAGCAGGCAAGGGGAAGGGATAAGGTGCAGAGAAGGTGCAGAGAAGGTTCAGAGAAGTTTCAGATAAGGTTCAGATAAGGTGCAGAGAAGGTTCAGATGAGGCCTCTGCAAATCATAATGTTGTGTACGGGGTTGGCCTTAAATGTTATGGGATTTAGTAGTGTCTGCGCAGCTGCTGAAAGTTCAACCCTCTTCTGATGCTCGCTGCCATGTCGGTGAATTTTGATCAGGCAATAAAAATTTTCTGCGAATTTCGCTACATGCATTTGAACATGTGGCTGTGCGAATTGGGACAGCAGGCAGGATTTCTGGGTTTATGCGGACCGGTCTCCTCTTGTGTGTCAAGCGGTTGAGGAGGAGAAGATTTGGTGGTTTACTCAAATGCACGGGCGGACAAGACCTCTGCTTGCTCGCTGCAAGCGGGAAGCAGTGTGTCATCTCCGCAGCCTGCGGACTGATCGAACGGACAGGATGAGCGAGCGATGTAGGTGACCCTCTGTAATTTGCTGCCAGGAGCAGATGTCCTCGGCGGACGAGCATCTTCGGAGAAGGGAAATGAGACAGGCTCCACGGTGGCGTGCACCTGGTCGATAGGTATTGTATGTGCCACCCACACAGAGACACACACACACACAGACACACACACTGAGAGAGAGAGAGAGAGAGAGAGAGAGAGAGAGAGAGAGAGAGAGAGAGAGAGAGAGAGAGAGAGAGAGAGAGAGATGGAAGAATGGAGGGGGAAGGCGGTGTGGGGATGGGTGGTGGTGGTGTTGGTATTACTAGGATTGAGAGTGGAGGGTTCGCCGCCGGCAGGGAGAGGAGAGGTGGGCAACTTCCATAGAGGGAAGCCGAGGACGTGCAGGACGGAGACCGTTGCCGGCGGAGTCCGATGTCCTACGGGCAAGGTATGTGTAGTGTCGACGCTAGGCCGACCAGAGGTGGACATCCCTCACTCGGGTTATTGCGGCCGCGCACGCCGCGGCAAACAGTGCTTTTACAAGGGCTATTACTACCAAACTGGCGTGGATGGCATTCCCACCGGCGATGGGTGCAATTTCTGTAGCTGTGAGGCGGGAGGCGTCCTCAAGTGCTCAAACAAAACCGCTGTCACTCCGTGTCTTACCGATCCCTGCGCCGGCAAGACCTGTCTGACGTACCCATCTGCCATCTGCAGAGCTAATTACTGCGGCGGCTGCTCTTTCGACTTCTTCTTGGACTCAGATAGCTCCTCCACAAAGGTTACTTCGTCGTGCGGGACATCCTGCAACTGCACTCAGCCGTCCGATCCTGAGGAGCAGGTGTGCGGCAAAGACGGTCGCAACTACGCTAGCGCGTGCTTCGCTGACTGTGTCAACGTCACCTCGCGGCCTGGGGATTGCCGCTCCGCCTGCATTTGTCCCAAAATCCTCAGCCCCGTGTGCGGCAGCGACGGGACCACGTACGGCAATTCCTGCACGGCGCGCTGTGCGTTCGTGGACAAGATGAGGCCCGGGGAGTGCTCCGTCGTCTGTGCCTGCTCTGACGATCGGGATCCCGTCTGTGGTAGCGATGGAAAGACGTACACGAACAAGTGCATGGCTGACTGCCACTTCGTGACCAGCTATGTCCCCGGCGCGTGCGAATGAGCGACACCGGGGGGAGGAAGAGGAAGAGGAAGAAGGAGGTGTGAGGAAGGAGGGAAGATGGATGGAGAGGAGGAGAAAATGTGGAAGGAGGAATCGAGCAGTAGCCTAAGGGAGAAATAAAGAAAGGAGAAAAGACGCAGCAGAGGAGGGAGGATGGAGAGGAGGAGAAAATGTGGAAGGAGGAATCGAGAGCAGTAGCCTAAGGGAGAAAGAAAGAAAGGCGAAAAGACGCAGCAGTAGCAACTCTGAGCTTCGTAAAGTCATGAGCTAGAGGGAGGAAAAAGTGAGCAGCGCGTACGATTCCGTGAGTGGATCGAGGAAGGGGCGAGGAAGACTCGAGGGAAGAATCGATGAAGACTCGAGGGAAGGATCGATGAAGACTCGAGAGAAGAATCGATGAAGACTCGAGAAGTAGGAGGGAGGAAGACTTGAGAAGGAGGGAGGAAGAATCGACGAAGAGTCGAGAGGAAGAAAAGAGGAAGGAAGAAGGGAATAGCATTTGTGGGAGTAGTAGTAGTAGTAGTAGTAGTGAAAGGAGAAGGAGAAGGAGGAGCAGGATGAGAGTTCAGCTACTGGTGATCTTGTACAGATCGGGTGGGTGGTGTTAGATGACCGTGCATGCGCGCTTGTCGCAACCAAGGGGCAAACATCCTACTCCCCATTTCGCTCTCTCCCTTCCTTCCTCTCTCTCTCTCTCTCTCTCTCTCTCTCTCTCTCTCACACACACACACACACACACACACACACACACACACACACACACACAGACACACGTGTCGCACGGTATCTCAATGTTTTCTCGTACACGACTGTGCAAGAGGGAAGCGAGGGGGGAGAGAACGGAGCAAGGAAGCCGCGCGTGCGCTAGAGAGCGAGAGAGAGAGAGAGAGAGAGAGAGAGAGAGAGAGAGAGCAGGTTGATTTACTGAACAGGCGAACACCAGGGAACGCCTGTGCGTTCCTGACGGCAGTCGAGATGTATCCCCCGTGGCTGGTCAGCTCCGCAGAGCGAAGAACTCGGGAGGGGGGGGAATGGGAGGTCATAACGCGAGATAGCAGTTGAGGCGATGGAGGAAAGAGGTAGTCGCGCTGCCTTGGCGTGCTCGAGGTGAAAATGGGCCTCTGTCCCAAGAGACATGGGGTGTGGGATGATTAATCCCGATTTGTACAATATGGTGAGGTCCTTAGCGACGAAGGAAGCAGTTAGGAGACAGACTATCCGCATGCATTGTGGATCTGTGTGCGTGTGTATGGGGCGAGAGAGAGAGAGAGAGAGAGAGAGAGAGAGAGAGAGAGAGAGGTCGGGGGAGGGAGGGGATTCCCCGAAGCCAAGGTGATCGATTTGCAGTGCATTTATACCTGCTAGAAGTGANGAGAGAGAGAGAGAGAGAGAGAGAGAGAGAGAGAGAGAGAGAGATTTTGAAGGTTTGTTTGTTGGTGAAGTGGTTGCTATACTGAAGTAGCTGCGCGCGGTTGAGACAGCGCAGCGTGGTGCTGAGACCGTTGACCGTTCTCTTGGCAGTGTTGACGATGAATGGAGTGCCTTCTCTGCGCGAGTGCGTCCATCGTAGCAAACGCCCACCTCCAGGTGTGCAATGGCTCCGGAGCTTCTGTTTCCCGCGAGGGGGAAATTTCTCCCTGCAGCAGTATCAGGCGTCTGTCCTCATTTTGACGTTTGTTGCTTATTCGATGTATCACATGTCCCGAAAACCACCATCTATGGTAAAGAGTGTTTTGCACCCTCCAGAGCCGCACGGCAGTGGAGCAGCTGGCTGGCCTCCATTTAGTGGTAAAAGGGGTTCAGAGTTATTAGGAGAAGTGGATGTTGCGTTCCTTGCAGCTTATTCTCTGGGCATGTTCTACAGTGGTCATTTAGGAGATCGTCTCAACCTACGGTTGTTTCTCGGTGCCGGTATGATTGGCTCTGGACTGTTCACGTGCCTTTTTGGCATGGGCTATTTTTGGAACTTCCATAGTTTAGGATACTTTCTTCTTATCCAAGTTGTGGCGGGGCTATTTCAGTCGACTGGATGGCCGAGTGTGATTGCTTTCGTCGGTAATTGGTTTGGCAAATCGGGTAGAGGGTTGATAATGGGTATTTGGAACGCTCACACGTCTGTGGGGAACATACTGGGCGCCGTCCTCCCTGCTGCTGTCCTCGATTGGGGATGGGGGTGGTCGTTCGTGCTCCCCGGCGTCATGATCATAGGAGCGGGCTTTCTAGTAATTGCTTTCCTGGCAGTGGACCCTGAGGACGTGGGCCTGCCAACGCCTATGCACACACAAGGAGACAGTGAAGATCGGGTGGATAGACACGTGTCGCGAGGGAGAGGGGTGGGTGGTCGTCAAGTGGAGGCGGAGGAGGAGATGGTGCTTTTCGACAGCAGCAGCAGCGGAGATAGGGGTTTGGCAAGGAGTGCCTTTTCGGGTGAAGGAGAACAGGGGGATCCCAACGATCCCCAAACTGTGAATAAGAGGACAATTGAGGAGAAGGTAGGGGGGGGCGGTGTGCAGGAGGGGGAGGGGGAGGGGGAGGGGGAGGGGGAGGGGAAGGAGCCTACTTTCGACGATGACCACTTCAAAACTGTGGACGGAGTGATCGTAAGGGAGAGCATTGGGTTTCTAGAAGCTTGGAAGATTCCTGGCGTTGCCGAGTTTGCCTCGTGCATGTTTTTCTCGAAGCTCGTGGGATACACATTTCTCTACTGGCTGCCTTTCTACGTCAAGAAGACACCGATTGCGGGACGGTCTTTGACCGATGAGCAGGCGGGTGATTTGTCAACCCTGTTTGACTTTGGCGGGATCGTCGGGGGTGTTATTGCAGGCTACGTGTCGGACAAGTGTAACATGAACGCTTCGGTGGTGTGCACCTTCTTCGTCCTTTCCGTCCCCATTCTGTGGAGTTACTCTACATTCGGCAGTGTCTCTCTGGTACTTAACATCGTCCTGATGTTCACCTCTGGGTTGGTGGTGACTGGACCCCTTTCCCTCATCACGACCGCTATATCAGCTGACTTGGGCACACACGAATCGCTTACGGGTAACGCCAAGGCCTTAGCGACCGTGGCGGCAATCCTAGATGGAACGGGCTCCATTGGCGCTTCGCTGGGCCCGCTGCTTACGGGTTTCGTAAGTGAGCTGGGAGGGGATAATCAAGGGTGGGTGTATGTCTTCTGGATGCTTATGGCGTCGATATTAATCGCCGGCCTGTTGCTGACCAAGCTAGTCATTGCAGAAGTGAGGGAGAAGATCGCTGTAACAAGACCGTACGAGGTACTGAAGCCCAACGAGGTGGAAGTGGAGTTGACGATCAAGATGCCCGCGCAGTGATACCAGGTAATGGAGAGGGAATCAATTGGGGTACCTGACGATAACCAAAGGCCCGGCGAAGGGGTTTTGGACAGAACCGCTCCGGCGAGTCTCTGTACTTCACTGTATTTGGACAAATCCCTTTGTCAGAAGAACGAGCCTGTTGTCCTCCGGAACATCTGTTGAAATTGGAACGATGGAGAGAAGATTAGCATGCCCCCTGGGCAAGGATGATATCCGTAAATCGCAAAAAGAAGAGTGCGCCTGAAAGTGAGGTAGGAGATCGCGAGGACGAGCTTGTACCGAGTACTGAAAGCTCGATGAGTTAGATGCTGCAGTTGGCGATCAGGCCGTCTGCACATGACGATGGCAGGTGATAGAAAGAAAAGCAAACAGGTTTGGTACCTGATGATAATAACTGAAGGCATTGTTGACAGAGCGGCACTGCCCGACCGTGGCAGAGTGTGTCTGGACCACGATGTTTGTAGAAATGTCTCTGTGAGAAGAAGCCTGCTGAAAGTGAGGGTGAGAAGATTGCCGGAGTAACCCTGTACCGGCAAACGAAAAGCAAACAGGGTACCAACGGGCCTCGCTCAGTTGGTACACCCATGAACGGTTGAAATACAGACCTGAGTTCGAATCCAGATACGATCAGATGACCAGATTATAGTGATTCTGAATTACCAGGGGCCGGTCAGTTCAATGATGGGAAAAAAAAAAAAAAAAAAAAAAAAAAAAGGCGAACAGAGTACCTGACAATAACTACCATCTTCAGCTGAATAGAAGAATGAATGGTTAGTATCGCATTGTCTAGGCTGAAAGTTGCCCTGACTTCAGCTATCATGACCTTACGTTCTCGTCAGATGAAGACAGTAATAGTAATGATTAGAGGGGTTGGCGACGGAACAGAATGGGTTCTTGCCCTTCACCAGGAGAGTTGATACAGACTTCACCATATTTGCACAGATGCCCCTGTCAGAAGAGGGCACCTTTGCACAGATGCCCCTGTCAGA